ATATATATATATGATAAGGTGGTTGAAGTTGAGTATGATTCTGTTTAGAACTGGTTTTCTGACCAAGAAAGACTAAACCTAACAGAGGGTCCAGACTAATTTCTAACCATCTCCATATGTGTGCCAGGCCCAGACCAGAGCCAGGTGGAATGCCGGGAACTGAGATCCACAAAGTACATCTCTGATGGTCAGTGCACCAGCGTCAACCCCATCAAAGAACTGGTGTGTGCCGGGGAGTGTCTGCCAGCTCTTCTGGGGCCCAACTGGATCGGGATCGGTGGTCTCAACAAGAGATACTGGAGCCGTCACGACGGTCAGGACTGGCGCTGCGTCATAGACCGGTCCAGGACCCAGCGGATCCAGCTGCAGTGCCACGACGGCAGCACCAGGATCTATAAAATCAACGTGGTGACCTCCTGCAAGTGTAAGCGCTTCACCAGACAGCAGAATGACTCAGGACACAAGGACACCTCCACCCCGGGTGGGAAACAGAAGAAAAACCCGGAGAAGGTCAGACTGCCTGAGGGGTTTGATGAAATACAGTCTGACAACTAAAACTCAGGTTCACTGCAGTCCCAGGTTTTCATCGTCAAGCTTCTGGATGATTCACAAAGTCCAAAAATCCACCTATAGACGTATAAAAACTCTTCTTCTGCTTTCTAACTGTGATACAGAAAGAAATCTGTTAAACACTGTAGAATAAAACAGGGATAAAAGAGTGATTACATCAGTCACACAGCAACACAACTCTGATTTTGACCTGAATCTGTGTAATGTATAAAAACAAACTAAAAGGTTTAATCCTTCAGTCAGTGGCGGATCTAGGAGTAAGGGGCCATCAAGGAGCCACCATATTCCTGATGGGGCCAGTTCTTTGTTCAACATGCTTTCACACAAATCCCCAGTTTCGTTAAGGTGTAAACATTTAACCAGTCATACAGAGGATGCTAAACTGCATTTCACTGTTTTAACACTCTCCTTGAACATTGTTTTTATCAGCGACAATAAAGCTATTCTATTCTATTCTATTCTATTCTATTCTATTCTATTCTATTCTATTCTATTCTATTCTATTCTATTCTGGTATCAGCCAGCTCTGGGAGAGAGTCTGTTTTTTTCTTTCCTATTATTTTTTTACCGAGTGGTTGAAGTCAGCCTAGCGCTTTCAGCACAAACAAACACGCCATGAGTTTCTCTCGGTTTGACTATCTTTATAAAACT